GCTGTACTGAGGTATCAAATGTTGCTCTAGAGGTTGAACGAGCTGGAAAAAGGTTGAATCAAGTTTAATACTCTAATTTACATCTGCTGAACTCAGGTATTAGCTTAAACACACACATATATAGAATTTGATACATCTGAGCTTGTTGTTTGAATATTTTGAAGTAAAATTCCTGTTGTGCTGATATATAGTGATTTAACCTACTATGAAACTTGTGGTAACCATCTGAGCATGTTTAACTTGATGATTTAAAGCTGTTGAAGTTGGATTAAATTCAGAAAATTGACAAGTCTTTGTGTTGGCCTTCTAAACCTCAATTAGCTAGGGTTTCAACCTCATTGTTGTGAACTGAGAACTGAATATGAGATATCATGCTGCTATCATTGGTATCTTCATTTAAACATAAGTATAATGCTTATATAAGACTGTGAGAACCTGGACAAGTCCTAAGAAAATTTAAAATTCCAGTTCTACCCTTTGAGTAGTGTTACTATTGATTTAAGCCTAATCTTGTTTGTTGTGAGCTGAGATCTGTTGAAATATGCATTGAAGTGTTTTAACTTGCTTGGTTCATTAATCCTATATGTTAAGCAAGTGTAGAGTATTGTTTGGCAATTGAGATTATGAGGTTTAAGATGAATAGAGGTGGTACATTATCTGTGTAAAGCTATTGCTACCAGCTAAAGTGTTTCTGTAGAAAACAATCTGTTTTGGGGTTGAAAGTGTTTTATCTTGTTGTGATTAATGTGTTCATCATTTTAGCAAGTGTATACTAAGATTATAAAGGTGTGATGACATAGAAAGGGGTTCTTAGAGAAGATACTCTATGAGTTGATAGATTTATCCTTTGAAGAGGGTTTAAAGTCTATTTGAGCTGAATTGTTGAAGGAACTTGTTATTCACTGTCCAATACGTATTTGTGCAAGTATGTTGAACTGAGACAAGGTTGTGGGAACCTAGCTTGAGCATCAAGTGAAGCTGCATTGTGTTTTAACAGTTCTATCCTTTGATTGCAAAAAAGTGAAGACTAAGGTTTTACATTGTTCCGCTTGAGGCTGTGTATTGCATTCTTTTATTGTTGTTGCAGCTGAAGTAGTATGTTCTATATGTATTGACATCTTACTCCATTGGTGATTTAGCTACTGAGAGCTTGTAAGTCCAAGTAGGGTTGCTTTGGACAGGGGGAGTGCATGTGTGCACATTGGTGAGCTAGTGTGTGAGTATTGGTTGTGAAAACTAGTGTCTATTCTTGTACAAAGGTGTGTGCAGAGAGTGAGACAGCTGAGTGTGTAATAAGATACTTATAGCTAGTGGATGCTTTATTGGCTGAGGCCAAGAACCAAGGTTTTTCCCTATTGAGAGGGTTTCCTTGTATATCTTGTGTTATGTGCTTGACTTGTGATTGATTAGTTTTGTTTTCAAAGAGAAGAGTTTTTAATTAGACCAATTCACCCCTCCCCTCTTAGTCTAACACCATTTCTAAAGTTCAACCTTTAGTATTCATATCACTTAGCACTTAGTTTTTATTTGCTTAAGTTTAGTTTAGTACTTAGTTCATCTTTCAGCATTCAATACTTTAGTTTCTATTTCAATCAAGAGTTTGTAATTCATTCATCATTGTAATCAGTCAAGGTCAATGAAGAAAGGTTTGTAGATTCAGGTATATTTATTGTTCAATTAATTTACTTCTAATTGATATCTGTCTTGAATTTTTAATGTCATTTCTTAAAGGTAATAACAACCTTAAGGAAAGGGTCATTCCTACTATCCAACTTTTGCCTTAATTACATTAGGTCGGCGACCCGAAACGATAGGAATAGTTTGGCAAGAAATATTCGAGTCCATCAGGACTCTGGCACGCCCGCGTTTTAGGTTAACTATTCATTGGCTAGCAACCTCAGACCACTTTGTGAGCCAAACATATAGAACTGAATTTCTTGTATAATTTCAAAATGAACACTCTTATCTCCAGTGCCTCTTAAAATTAAAGTAACGAACAAAACCCATTTATAGGCAATCAATTCTCAATTACAAAAATGAATCAAAACTCTTCTCGTTTTATAGTAAAATATTTCTCAACTAAAAGATAAAAAAAAAAAAAAAAAAAAAAAAAAAAAAAAACAAAAACTCTGTTTGATTTAAGTTTTTTGATATGTAAAATATTTTTCAAAAATTATTTTTTGGTGCTTATTTTAAAATTAAATCCTGAATATTCTTTTCAAAAAGAATTCTGTGATACCCCTCGGATCCGAGACACGGGTTGATCAGGCCCAGGCCCAAACCTGAGGGAATATCAAATAATTAATATTTTAAAAAGAACACAGATGACAAAATGAAATAAGAATAAAATAATAAAAGCTGGAAGAAGCTAAAATGAAATCCTTTAAAGTGAAAACTTAAATCCCAATAATCTAAAACCTCCAATAAATTAAACAACTCGGGAATCCATCTCTAATGGACCCCTAATAAAAATCCAAACTGAAATAGAACAACTGAAAGAACATCCTGATATAAGCTATGGAAAGAAGTCCTACGTCGCCGATAGAGTGAGTAGAAACCTCTGCTCAGCAAGCACACGGTTATGTCTGGAACTGTCGTGTACCTGAAAAATAGAAATGGGTCAGGCCCACGTGCAAGTTCTATACTACTACAATCTAAGCAGAGGCCCGATACACATGTACATCCTAAACAATTCAACAATAGCTAATAGTCTGTAAGTATATATATAATCACACTAAAGGACTCTCACTGGACTACAGGCCGGTCTTAACCTGAATAGAGTAACATGCTAAAACGCACACGATGTGGGCATGTGTACCTAAGCCTAAACATGGTACACCTCCAACCATTGTAGCCAGCTATGCATCCCAATGCATATACGCTCCCTGACAATTGATCCTGAGACTCACGCTCATATCGAGGTACCATAACAATATATATATAATCCATCCAGAATCCCCTAGTAGTGCCGCTCAACTAGTCGTTGTCATGACACTACAAATCAATAGGACTTAACTTTTAGTTAATCCAATTCTTAATCCAAAGTAGGTAGGTTTTGGTATTTTTAAATCAAACCGTCCCTAGTATACCACCGTCCCATACTGGTGTATACTATCCAATCATCCAGCAGTTGATTATACCAACAATTAAAGTAAACATCAACTAAATCCATATCTCCATCATTGATACTAACAGGCATAGTGTAAGCATCAATAAACACAGTCAACTATATACGTAAACATGTTCAGTTTTATATCCATCACTGATACTAGCAATTATAATGTAAGCATCAATTAAGCACGGTCAAACTATATACCTAAACATGCTCAGCTTTATATCCATCACTGATACTAACAGTCATAATGTAAGCATCAAGAAACATAGTCGCAGTATATACATAAACCTACTCAGTTTAGGTTGTTCCATAAAATCCGGTATAGTGTTAGGTTTAAATCTTCATAACCCTCAACACCAACACATTCTAAACAAGCATAACTCAGATACATGATCATGATATATGGTGAAGCATGTTTTAATTATATTATCTGTCTCAAAAGATTACAGATCACCAAGAATTAAACTAGTTTAATTCTTCTAACTCCAACCACAATGTGTTAATTTGTTTAAAACGTATACTGTTCAAGTGACAACCATAATTAGATTATTAACATGCCTCCTGAAGTCTTAGAATTGTCTCTAAGCGTCATCCATACACCTCACATATAGCACTAAACCCAACTGAAACCCCAGAGAACCAACTACTGCAACCAAAACTAACTGGAAACGAAAAAAGAATAAAAATTCAGCAAGGAGACGTCTCCCAAAGTGTGGAGCCGTCTCCTTTGGGTCTTGGAGCCAGCTCCCACATTTGGGAGCCGCCTCCACATCAAAGGGAGGAGGCTCTCTCCAAGGGAGAGCCGGCTCTCTCCCTCTCTACCTCATCTCCTCCTTTTCCGATGACCTCTACAGCCTCTAAACCTCACTGCTATGGCTTCCAGACATTGTAACCCAATCCCAGTATGTTCCCAGTCCATGTTTAAGTCTTTAATACATTCCATACATAGGTTTAAATAGAGAATTAAGCAAGCAAAAATCATCGTTCGAACAGGTTTACAAGTATACACACATACTGATATGTTTCAAGTTTAGCACAACAGAAAACGTTTTTTAATTGATTCAATTAATCCTAGAACTGTTTAAGAATGCAAAGAACACGAAGCCTAAGGGAGAGAGTAAGGATAGAACTTGCCTTACACCGACGTCCGTCTCAATTCTCCGGCGAATCCTTTGTTTGCTATCTGTTTTCTTCCTAGCTGTCTCAAAAACTTCTCTCAACCTTACTATGTCGTAATTTTATTCTAAACCCCTAGGTAGACAACTTAGGTGAATATTTATAGGCCACACTAATCCTAGGCTCTCTTAAACTCTAACTGGATTTACTCGGCCCATTAAGAAATAGGTTAAAATCAATGTCGGTTATAAACTGTGTAACCTATATATGCAACAAATCCTACCGTCACGTTAAAACTAATTAAATTTATTTAAATAAATTCATACCATTAAAGCAATAATTAAAACAACTAATTACAACAAAACAATTAAATAACAATTAAATAATTAATACAATTAAATCTATAAGTAAAACAATCAAATAAATTAACTACAACTAAATCAATTAAATAAACATATATACACTTAAACAATAAAAATTTGAAATTTAAACAATAAAGAAAAATACCAGGACTATCCTTTTTGAAATTAGGGATATTACAAATTTCTTTTTTGAATTCAATAAATTTTTAAAAATTAAATCATTTAAAGTAAAAATCTTGATAAAATTTCTTTTATTTACCCATAACTATAGGTTATCAGGTTGTATAGATAAAAATAGAGTGAAGGTGTTTTGCATGGAAGTTTTAGAATTGGAATTAGTGGGATTGAAGAAAATTTTAACTTAATTTTTTGAGTTGCTTTTCTCCAATAATACCAATTTTAATTTTAAGGCTCCAATTACATACCGTGAAACATAACCTAAAAATAGAATGATAAATATAAAAAGGTACAAATTATCTCAAAATGTTCATACATGCTCTTGTAATATGATTATAGGGCATATAAGGATTTTTTTTCTTTTTTTTTTTTTTTTTTTTTGGGTCACGTATATAATACTTTATTTACACAAAATAAATATTTTTTTTTTAGGTATCTAACTTTATAAGACAATGATTTTTATTAATTTTTTTATAATATTAATAGTGAATGAATTATTAAATTTATCCACCATTTACTTTTTACAAGTTAATATTAAATTGGTAATATTACAAAAAAATAAAAATAAAATAAAAAACTTAAAAGATGACACACATTATGATATAAATTGCTAACAATTAAATATACATGACACCTAAGTCATGTAATCCTTTCAACAAGTGTTACTTATAGGTTCGAGCTTTTATTCTCACGCTCGGCGTATCCTCTCTCAATTTTTTATTATTTATAACTTAATTTTGCTGCCTTTAAATTCGTTTTTACTCCCGATGTATGTCACTTAGCATGACACACGTCATCCGTTCTTACATGCTACATCACTCTGCAATTATGCATACTCATGTTCTTATTGGTACCAAATTTCTCGCGCTATCTCAATCAAGCCCTGTATTGCTCAATTCCACCGGAGACGAAGCCAAAACCGTCCAATTCCACAAACTAACTAGAATTGAATCAAATATATGCTCATACCATCGGAACCCACATCCTAGATTTGCACCCTGATCCATTTCACTGGAACAACATCATAAGATCATACACTAGACTAGATTCTTGCATATCTCTCATTTTCTTGAAGGCCATAAGCCAAGATTTCGATGCTGAATTGGGTCGGCAAATTAGCGGTAAGGATTTGTCTTGAGTTCACTGGAAGTGGTTCTGTTTGTATGCTAAAGCGGGCGAATTTGGAAATGCATGTAAAGTGTTCGAACAAAATTCTGATAGAAAGTTGGGTTCTTGGAATGCGTTTTTCACAGGGACATGGTGGGCGTGCTAAGGAAGCTATAGGTATGTTCATGGAGTTGGAGAAAAGTGGGTTTGAGACTGATGATGTGACTATGGTCATCGACTTGTGGAGACTTGAACTTTGCTCTTTAGTTGCATAAATCTGTCTTCCAAGCAAAAACCTTGGAGAAATGGAACATTTTGGAGACATGTAGACTTGGAGTTTTTGAGGATGATCTAGCAGAATGTTTCTTCTTGGATGCCCCTGATTGTGGGTTATGCTGCTAATGGTTTGTGGGATGAGGTTGAGGAGATAAGGAGTATGAGAAAGAGAAGACTCGTTGAAATTCCTGGTTATAGTCTGTCAACAAGATCGCATTAAAACAAAGGTTTTTTTTTTTTTTTTTTGTTTTTTTTCAATTTTGTCTATGACATTTCAATTATTATATATTCATTATAGCCTGGCAGCATTGAAACATGACGTGTTTCAATTTTGTCTATGACATTTCCATTACTGTATTATATAATTGTTCTTATCCTTTTAACACCATATTAAAGCCAGCCAACCTTGGGTAGTTGGGCACACCATTGACTCTGCAGTTCACATTGGTAAGCAAATAAAATTCACACCTCAGTCACGTTGGATACTTGAATATAAACCAGTTCATAATGCATTTTGACAGTACATCTAAAACACATTTAGAAATCTCTGTATTGCCATTTTGATGGAGAGGATTCACATGAATACTCTAATAGGATTACTGCTAGTGAATTCATGCATGATTCATTTGGCTCTCTGTCTTTCAAACTTCACAGATCAATCCGCTCTGTTTGCCATCAAGGCTGAGATCAATCTTCAACCACACAATATTCTGGCTAGTAATTGGACCAAAACAGCCAACTTCTGCAACTGGGTTGGTGTCTCCTGCAGCCCTCGCAGACACAGGGTCACCGCGTTGCGGCTAGCTTCCATGGGTCTCCAAGGAACCATTTCCCCATATATTGGTAATCTCTCCTTCCTTGTAGCTCTGGATCTTCGAAACAACAGTTTCCGTGGTACTTTGACGCATGAGATTGGCCGTCTGAGTCGCCTCAAAGATCTCCTTTTAGAAACTAACATGATGGAAGGACAAATACCCCCAACAATACGCCACTGCCAAAACCTTGAACGCCTATCGCTTGTGGACAACAGTTTCAGCGGAGTCATACCAGAAGAGTTGGGTACACTTCCCAGACTCTTTTTCCTTGGCTTGGGTAGCAACAATTTTATGGGTCCAATACCATCATCACTAGGCAACATCTCAACATTGCAGATATTTGGACTTGAACAAAATCTCTTGACAGGTTCATTTCCTTGGACTCTCTTTAACATCACTTCTTTACGTTTCATTTCTCTAACCAATAATAGCATCTCTGGTAGTCTTCCGATGAATATCTGCCTACTTTGGCCAAATCTTGAAAGGCTTTATCTTTCTTTCAACCATTTCCGGGGACAAATTCCATCCTCGATATCTCAATGTAGGGAGCTTAGAACACTCTCTTTATCAACCAATTATGGATTCGAGGGAACCATTCCAAGAGACATTGGGAAATTACAGAAACTAGAGGATATATATCTTGGTCGTAATAAAATTACTGGAACAATTCCACATTCCCTGGGTAACATTTCAAGTTTATTACTGCTTGCAATGGAAAATAATTACATTCAAGGAGAGATGCCACCAGAACTTGGCCAACTTTCAAGTTTGATGGCATTGAACTTTGGAGACAATCAACTCACTGGAGTTATCCCACAACAAATATTTAACATTTCTTCCTTGCAGTCCATTTCATTGTCTATGAATTCGTTTCATGGATATCTTCCAGCAACCATTGGCTTTTCACTTCCTAATCTTGAATTACTGTATATTGGACACAATTTGTTAAGCGGAAACATTCCTACTAGCCTAGGCAACTCTTCTATGCTCAGAGAAATAATCCTGTCTGCCAACTTACTAACTGGAGCAATACCCACTACCCTAGGCAATTTACAACTCCTTGAAGAACTAATTGTGTCATACAATCAACTCACAAGAGAAATCAGTAGTGATGAACTTACTTTCCTCATTGCCTTGACCAACTGCCAATTCTTGCAGATTTTGGATTTGGGGGTCAATCCAATTGGTGGTATCCTCCCAAATTCAATTGGAAATTTTTCAAGTTTGCTTCAAGCTATTGAAATGCCTGGGTGTCAAATAAAGGGTCCTATTCCAGCTGAAATCGGTTCATTGAAAAACATGAATCGGTTTGATTTGAGCAACAACAATGTAAATGGATCCATTCCATCAACAATTGGAGGATTAGAAAGCTTACAAAGGTTGTATCTTGATGGTAACAAGATCGAAGGACTTATTCCCGATGAGATTTGCCATCTTCACCAATTGGGAGAGTTATCTCTACAAGGTAATAACCTCCTCGGACAAATCCCTACATGCATAGGGAATCTCAGTCATTTGCAGCTGTTATTCTTAAATTCTAACAATCTTTCTTCTGCTATTCCACTGAGTTTATGGACACTTCCAAATCTTCTGCTTTTGAATTTGTCAAGCAACTCCTTAGGTGGATACTTGCCATTAGAGATGAGAATGTCAAGAGTCATTGAAAGCATAGATTTATCTTTGAACCTCATAGGAGGAAACATTTCTCAAACTATTGGGACCTTCCAAGGTCTTAGATCTCTCAATTTGTCGAGGAATTCATTACAGGGACCAATTCCGGAGTCATTTAGTGGCTTGATCTCATTGGAATTCATGGACCTCTCTTACAACAATTTGTCAGGTACCATCCCCAAGTCCTTGAAGGAACTTTCATATCTCAAATACTTGAATCTCTCTTTCAATAAGCTCTCTGGAGAAATTCCAGATGGAGGATCCTTTGTTAACTTTACAGCCCAATCCTTTATGGAGAATGAAGGACTCTGTGGGCTGCCAATTCTCGGAGTTCCAGCTTGCAAAATCCCCAACACCCAAAAAACAAGGGCTAAACAAATTTTTCTCAAATATATTCTTCCAGCAAGTGCATTAATAGTAATCTCTGTTGCTATTATGTATATGCTAATAAAAGGCCGAGGAAGTAGATTGCAAAATCCAAATTCAGTTGAATTACCAACTACAATGGAGCATAAAATGATCTCATTTCAGGAGCTTCGTCAAGCTACAAATAACTTTTGTGATGCCAACTTGCTAGGAGCAGGAAGCTATGGTTCTGTGTACAGAGGAGTACTTTCTGACGGGGAAACCATTGCTGTAAAAGTTTTGAATTTGGCATTTGACAGAGCTTTTAAAAGCTTTGATGTAGAATGTGAAGTGTTGCGAAATGTTCGGCACAGGAATTTGGTAAAAGTCATAAGTACATGCTCCAATTCTGAGTTAAGAGCTTTGGTTCTACAGTACATGTCTAATGGAAGTCTTGACACGTGGTTATATTCTCAGAACTATTGCCTGAATTTGCTTCAAAGAGTGAGCATCATGTACGATGTTGCATTAGCTTTGGAGTATCTCCATAATGATCAATCAGAACCTGTGGTCCATTGTGATTTGAAGCCCAGCAATGTGCTTTTAGATGAAGAGATGGTTGCTCACGTGGGAGATTTTGGCATTGCAAAAATTTTAGTTGATGATACTGCAGCACAAACCAAGACTTTAGGTACACTTGGCTACATCGCACCAGGTAAATCATTTGCTTTTACCTTGTTAAATACTTTTTGAAAGATTGTTGTTAGTAATCTGTTGTGATATATTTTATGGCTGGTTGTGAGTTAGGCACTCTCAACTTCACAATTTCATATATGCTCTTAGTGATGCTATCAGGCCAACTCATGGAAATTAGTTCTATTGTTTTAAGTCAGTCAGACTGATTAGGTTTTTTTGAATTGTTTAACATCTTCCTTGTGTTGCTTATGCATAATGCAAGTGTTCACCTTAAGGTTGACTCAGGTTAATATTGCAGCAGGTAAATAACATCTTCCAAAAGGGGGTCTCAGCTTATTAGCTTTCCTTGTCTCTTCTTTCTTTCTAAACTGACATATCTTTCGTAAACAAGTCCGACTCCGTGTATAGTTTTTTTTAGAAAATGAATAATAACTTTCTCAACTTTTTACTTTGCTTATTTAATATTTTTAAATGTTTTTTTAATAGAGTATGGTTCCGAAGGAAGAGTGACAACAAAGTGTGACATTTATAGCTACGGAATAATGTTGTTGGAGATGTTTACAAGAAAGAAGCCCACGGATGAAATGTTCACGGAAGACATGAGCTTAAGGCAATGGGTGAATGCATCACTTCCGGACAAGGTAATGGAAGTCGTGGATGCATACTTGATAGAGAAACAAGATGGGAAAGATTACATGAACGTTGCACGAGCTTGTTTTCTAGCTATAATGGAACTAGGAAAGCAGTGTTCCTCAGAATTGCCAGAAGAAAGAAGTGACATCAAAGATGTAGTGATCATGCTTTATAGGATAAAATCCCAACTCCTTGTCAACCTACCTGCATGATATGTTAGTGGAGGAAGTCATTTTGTTCCCCTTCATCTCCTGTAACATTCTCCATTCGTGCTTTATTAGGATCTATTGTTGTGCCTTTTGGTCCTTTTTGTGAAATCGTCCTGTATTTTTGGCTTCTATTTTTTCGCCCCCATAAGTTTAGTGAACAATAACCATATTTCATTGCAAATAAAGATCTATCCTGGTCAAGAGTATTGACGTAAGCATGCTGTTGATTTTATCTTGTCCAAAATATGCCATTTTTAGAACAATTGTTCGTGCAATAATCTAATTTAGAATTTACTGAAACTAAAATGGAGTACAAATATCGTCTCCTTTTAAAAGTGTAGTGTAATTGTAAAAAAGTAGAATACCAATATCACCTCCCTAAATAAAATTTCAATATTATTATTATCCTTAATCTTTACTACAACATAATATTTCTTCATTTACAAATACTCATTTAATATTCATTATATAATTCAAGAGAAAAAAATGAAAAAAAAATACACTACTGAGTAATGTCCTTTCACATTTAATTGGAATGAATCAACCGGGATGGATCCTCTCCAAGAGAATTCCTCTCCTAGTATCTCCAAGGATTTAATCACATAGCTGTTATAACGTCACATCACCATCTTACCACTCCCTCATTAATTTACCAAAACTTAATTAAATATGGTATCTTTTGGATTCCAAGATACCAATTACGGCTGATTTCCCATCCGGCTCATTTTACTTTTTGGCGCTAAAATTTCCATTTAACAATTATCATTAAGCTTCATTTTACTTTTTGCCAATAAATATTAACTTTTTTTTTTTTTTTCCTAATTGATACTCAAACACCCAAGGATCAACTTTAGTTTAAGGTATACACAAGCAATTATGTGTATATATTTGTGTGTATATATATATATATATATATATATATATATATATGTATGTATGTATAATATGATAGTCTAGAAACGTGAATCAAGCAGTGTATGTGTGTTCGTACACATATGGCTGAAAATTAAAAAGAATCAACAGTTCAGTAGAGAAGACGATGCAAGTTTTCGGGAGAGAACACGTACGGTGTAAAAAGGGCGACAAACTCGTCTGTTGAACCGATAAAAAAAAAATAAAAAAAAAAAAAAAAATCCTAACTAACTAATTTAACCCGCCATGACAATCCAAAATGAGAGAGGGAGGTTTTAATAATGGGTTCGAGATGGTTTCCTCTGATTTGATGATAATTCTGAGTCTCCTCGGAAGTGATTAGGGCTTGGTTGTTTACACCTAAAATATTCTTTTTGTAAATTTTTTTCTTTTTAAAGTAAAATAATTTTTTATTTTTACATTATCTGTGTTCAATAAAAGATCCATGACATTGAGGTCGACATTTAAAATAACTTATGGATAATTAATGAATAAGTTATTTTTATTAAATTTTAATATATTTTTTTAATTTATTAAAATTGATTTAACCAGCGTAATTGTTATATTGGAATTCAAAAGATATCATATTTAATTAAGTTTTGATAAATTAATGAGGGAATGGTAAGATGGTGATGTGGCGCTATGATAGCCATAATATTAAATCCTTGGAGATGCTAGGAGAGGAATTCCCTTGGAGAAGATCCGTTCCCGAATCAACCTCTTTTGTCAGATTTATTTATTTATTTATTATTATTATTTTTGTGACTAATTTGGTAATAGAATATTTTAGGCAATTTTATGTCCTAGATGCCGTCTTAGTTGTTTATTAATGTATTTTGAAGGACTAACATTTAATAGTAATGAATCAATCTCTTTTGTCAAATTTATTTATTTATTTTTTATTTTTTTTTGACTAATTTGGTAATACTAGAATATTTTAGGCAACTTTATGTCAGAATTCTATCACTGACTTTTTGTAACATATATATATAAGGAAAGTACTCAATTCAAATCAATTTTAATTTTCATGTACTTTTAAGATTTTTTAGACCATGCGGATAGCGTATCTTTGTCTATGGTCCAATTTGATATGCCGGTGGGGTCTAGAATTCTGATTCAGGCTGGTAACAAATTTCAAAAGGTCACTTTCAAAGAAGGAATCATAATTAATCGCAATCTATTATAAATAGACGTGTGGTACAAACTCTCTTTATCACATTTCCTTGTTTTTCCTTCTTATTAGCAAGTACATGAATGGCACGTGAAGACTAAAAGTGGTGATTCATGTCAACCGCAATAAAGTAAATAGCATCTTGACTATTTCAATAACGTAATCACTTTCTACCAACTGGGGATGAATCCATCTAAAAATTAGATTATGGCGCGCAGAAGAAGACAGAGACCCACTAATTTGTAAACAATAATTAAAAAAATTAACACCTACTAATTTATGCTGAATAAATAGTAATAATAAGAAAAAATTACACAAACATCTTTGACATCCAGTCGTATCTCACTTAAATAAATATTTTAATTTTAACTTTCACTCATATTTTAAAGAGTAATTATATATTTCACTTATAGCTTTAAATGTCAACTTAGTGATATTAGAATACTTTTAGGTGTAAAATGAGTTTATTAATTACTTTTTGACTTTATATTGAGTTTATTTAATAATAAATAAATAAAGACAAAGACCCATTATAAGGCAAAAATAATAAATAAATATGGAGTAGTTAATAAGAGAAAAAAAAAGGTCCAAAAGTAAGTTTAAAGATGCAAATCATGCAGGTTGGAATTGGGGTACAATTGGCCATTGTATTTCTTTTCTTCCCTGTGACCTTCTGCCATGTATGAGAATGTGAACCTTCATTAACAGCCAAAGGAACCTCTAAAACCTCACAATTCACTTCAGCACTAGTGGTAGGGCGGCCTCACATTGGTCAGTGGAGTAACCAAAAGTATCACATTTGGTGCAACCAGATGGCATCCAGTGATAATTGTCACCATTTTGCCTTTATTTCTAACTTGGAATGATTTAGAGAATTGAGACATAGGGATAACTTCAACACACACTCTAGCATCATCAATTCTATTTCTGGACTGGGTGTTAGCATCAGCAAACAGTGGTTTCCCTATTGCACTTGCAATATAACTGTGGCCCTTGGGTGACCAGAAGCGAAGGGTAATATTAAACAGCTTTACCTAAATTGTTAGAGTGCTACTTGTACTATTACTGGAAGGCTGTGATTCACTCTGCCATAATTTAAGTGAGATAGGTATACCTGCAAAAATCCATTGTCTACCTGCAAGGATAGCTCTGCAATCATCAATAGAGTGGAATTTGAAGAAGAATGTGCCATCTTTGTTTACCACAACTTTGAGGAGTCCTCTGCTCTCCCAAAGCCTATATGCAATTTTGGAAATAACCTTGAAGGGCATCTTCCTTTTGAAAAAGACCCAATAAAGAGCTTTTCCAGTAGTTATCCCCCTCCTCATAAACCTCGTCTGGTGGATCAACAACAATGCCCTCAATCATCAAGACTGGTTCAAAGTACTCGAAGTCCCAGTTATCCGAGGGAGATTGAGCCACTGATGCCCAACTAGTACCCCAGTATTCATCGTCCATATTGTCTTTGTTTTGTTCATTCGAGATGGTTAAGTGTTTGGGTGTGGGAAAGTCTAGGGTTGGTGATAACGGAGCAGGCAATTGTAAATAAGAGGGTGGAGTACTATTCTAGTTTGTTTGGATAGTTTGGTTAGTTTGGTTGGGATTGAACGAGAGAAAGCCAGAGTTGGTTGGAATTAAAGGGGAAAATGTGTGTTAGTTTGTGGGAAAGGTGGTGTGTGACTTGTCATGTAGGGTAGCAGTGTAGAGCTAACAGGGGGGCAAGAAGCATTTGAATTTGAAACATTTGAATTTGAAACCTGTAATTCCGGAAAAGCAGTCAAGGTTGCAGGTGGTGGCGCATGGGGGGTCAGCATGGCATCCCCTATCACTTGCTGAGAAGCTGTGGCCTGTAATCCTGTATCTCCGATGAAGATGGGGTTGTCCCTTAGTGCCAATGTTGCATCAATAGAGGCCACAGAACATATGGACATCTTTTTTCGGATATTATCAAACTACTCTTTGGAATTAAGGAATTTCCTAAGATGTGCTACCTCTATGATGAGGTGAACTTCGAAGCATCTATGATAGCAACATCAAATCCTTCCGGTAGATAATCCACTTCAGTGATAACTTTATGACCTGGATTATGAGTATTGTCCCTCTACAGCGAGAATTTGATTCTGGACAAGTCACTATTAGTCTCTGTGGAGGGAAAAATCCCCCTCCAGTAAGAGTCGTCCACGTCACTGCACTAAAAAATTATACTTTTGATCTTTTAATCAAATTAAATCTCCACTAGCCTAAGATCGCTAATGGTAAACTTTCAGCCCATCAAGAATGCTCAGCCAGCCCAAGATGTATTCAGCCCAAACACATGAAAGATTAAATGAGTCCTACTAAACGAAGGATCCTATATGAAAGGAAAGTTCTATAAAAGGGAAAGTCTGGCATGGAAATAATGGAAAAAGGAAGTAACTTTATTGGTAAAGAATTGTATATGGAATGAATTGGAGGACAAGCAAGGCGAGTCCTATCATAATTCTAGCACCTTTTTGTATATAAATAGAGGCTTAGTCCTCCAATAAAGATGATCGAGCAATATACGCTTTTCTCTGAGTAATGTTTGTTAATTATTGTTTTATATTGAGTGAGTTGTATTATTTCTTTTAATTTCTTTTATAGAGAGAAATTTTGCACTTACACTTTAGCGCCGCCTGTGGGAACGTATAGAATTATATTCCCACGAGTGATTCAAATCTTTTATGCTACTACAATCGGGAATGTCAATCGAAGAATCCGCAGCAGTAGCTGATCAGTAGATGGAGTTAATGCAAAAGATGCGAGAAGAGTTCTTGCACCAATTCGAAACGCTTCATCAACCAAACGAGGCCAGCACGGCTCAGATTGCATTGCTTTAGCAGAGTAATGATGCCCTCCAAGTAGCTATGGCCCAGATAGCACCGCAGCCACCACCAAGTGATGCTGCAACACCTCCCCCCAACCAAAACATTCCTCCGGTTAATGAACCTCAAGCCAATGAGGTCCAGCCTAACGAGGTTCGGCCTAACGAAGTTCAGCAAGAGCAGAGGTGAGAACCAAAGTGGTCGTTTCGGGCAATAATCCTCATCGTATGTAGGACGAACAGGCCGAGTCTAGTTGTAAGCTTATAATATGGTCTAATGGCATTCCGGA